TGATGCGAATCACGACAAGTAACGTTGAAATTTATATAGCCAGCTCTTAGACTAAAACAGACGCTTGTCATTAAATAAATAGAGAAACGTCGACGAACGAAATGGGACAACTCTATTTAAAAATACTTTGTTCGAAGAGAATGCGCGCTGCATTCGAAAAGAGTTATCGGTAGCCGTTTATTTGTACATACATTAGCGAAAAATAATACAAAGGAAAGGAGATTTTTATATCGTGTAAATTAGCGCGTTGAAATGATGTTTACGCGTCCAATCGTATGACACGTGCGCCGATTCCGGCCTGGCGCCTGCTACTGCGCTTGCGTCTGAACTTGTGTCTGCGCGCGCATTTACGCCTGCGCCCATGCCCGCATTCGCGCGCTTCAACGTGTCGCCGATTAGCCAGGAACTCTATTGTTCGATTCGACTCGTGTAAAAAATTTCCTAGATTATTCTTTCGACAGATTCTCTCGACGCGTAAACACGTGTCAGTTATGCCTTGTTATTTCTTATCACAGATGCCTTTCGTACTCTCGGTATACATGCATCTGTACTCGTAGATTGTTACGCGTTTTGCGATTAATTGGCACGGAGCAATTTGACAAGCTCTCGTCGAATTATTAAGTATGTATACCTAGATTAAATCACAGTCAAAATCACTGGAAAATTTGATCCTCCTTGGAATGTGGTTTGCTTGCATTCGTTGCGATCGTTTGTCGCGGGTGCACAACGATCAACGTGAAGTAAACGCGCGAAAAACGATTAAACGATTCGATGCCATCAAACGAATTAAGTTTATGATTTAATCAGAAAAATATTGTGCCAGCATTTATTCGACGACAAAATGTGCAACGAGATGGGCATTTATCTCGGTACTCGGGCACATTGGAAGGACAAACGTACAACCGAGAGTAGTGGACGTTATCAAAACTGAAGTTAAATCGTTGTAGTGTACTTACAGCCGATGCTAACGGTACTACAATTATTATGATCATTATCATTCTTACTATTGACGATTCTTCTGCAATCTACGGCTAATTAGATTAGGATGATCAAGAAAGGATCTCTTTTTGCTCCGACGGCAGTATTCTTACATCAACCACGATTTCTACTTCTCTTTTCGATCTTATTTTATTTACTTTTTGTATCTTTCTTTTATTTCAATTCATTTTATGCCTTCTTACAGCCATAAGCGACGTATCTGCGCGCAGACACATACACGCATACACGTAAACTCATACACGTATATACATACATACACAGATCGATACAAATACACACAAAAAAAAACAAGTACCTAACAGTTAGTAGACATATATACAAGTCCCATACTTTTGGGCCTTCTCTTCGTTCTCTTATCTCACTTGACCTCGATTGTGTTATCATAATTTTAATTACAGACTAAACAGAAGATCTTTTACTCTAGCTAGTGTTTTACTCGATTAAACTTCTATGCAATTGTTGTTCTCTCGTTAATAAAAAGTCCGACAAAGAAAAAAAAAGCTATTACGGTCTAGAACGTATACCCAAACTGAATTTCCTTCTCGAGATATCGATGCACGGAGATGTTTCATTGTCATTCGTTCATGTAGTACGTTTCATCGAGCATTCTTTTCGCCGATTTATTGAGAATCTGTACGTATACTCGAAACAAGATCCTAAACACAGTCACGATGCAAACAATGTCTTCGCATACATTGTTCTTGTATGATTGTTAACAACGTATGCATTTTCTATAAAAGCAATCCTCATGCACGCACGCAACACGCATTTTCACATAGCATTGTCATTGTACCATGAGCGAATACTTTTTGTAAATAAACAATATGCTAATGTTGGTACTTTGTCTCCTTGATCTAAGGATTCGTAAGCCAATTTCGTTCCGTTCAAATATATCATCGATCGAATCGCGGATTTGATTGATGCAGATTCCTTATCGATCGATACCAATCCAAAAAATACCATCGATATATTTTTTACGCGATAACTTCGATACGTCAATATGACATTACGATATTTTTATATTTATTTTCGCTTCCTAATCAATACGTTCAGTTCACGTCGCCATCGTTCGCAAAACTGCCTAAATTCTATGATCTTGTTTCATTCATTCATATTGTATAATATACAGACAACACGTATATGTATACATGTACATTCGCATACATTCGCAGATGCTTAAACGATACGTTATATGATATAATACAGTTTTTGATGAACGAATTATTAAATCATTTTCCCTATTTCTCTCTTTTTTATTTCCCTTACATAATCGAGATCGACAATAAATAACTGCAAAGTGGATAATATAATGCACACTGTTGTGGTTTTCGTGTAAGTATATATGTAACCATCGTTTTAAATATGTAAAAGAAAATACAAGAACTTGAGATTAAAATATAAATTAAGAGAAATAAATTAATTCACTTGTTTGAATGGTTCGCATGTTTTTAATTGGACCGTTTTTACCATGTTGTTACGTGCTGTACCACGTGCGTTCATCATACTCAGGACTAACCGCTAATCTTGCTCGGACACATTAATAAAAAGAGACCGACTCATTAAATCCTGCCGTGATTGGTTAAATCATGAACTCGGTTAACTATCATTGGCTTGAAAAAGTGGCGCTTTCTATTTATCGTCATCATTGTTATGAGAGTCAAATGATATATTACGTTTATGTACAATTTCTTAAAACTCTATGTGAAATAAAAAAAGATCATAGGAATGTTTAAAAAAACGATAGGTTAGATGGCTAGTAATTCGTTTTTTGGTAATTTATTAAAAATCATAATGTAAAAATATAAATTACAGTAAAAATGTTTCATAAGAGCTCGCCTACTGACCTTGAATTGTTCTGGTTCAGCATTTTGATCTATGGTAAAGACTAAAGACAAATTCACGAACCAGAGGCCCTGGCGACACACGTGAATAACGAGTAGGAGCAATTGAACCGATTGAAACGATCGAAACGATCCAAAATTTTAAGATTATTAAAAACAATTAACGGCCTACAATGTTCTCGGTAAATATATGTTCTCATAAAAACCAACTTCGAGTTTAAATGTTATAGAACATATGATATTGGTAGTTTAAGAAAAAATGAAAAACTCATAATTTTCATTATTCATTATTTTTAGTCAGCGGTAAGGAGGGTTGTTCAACGATCGTTTTCAACGTCAAAATGGAGTGGCGCACAGCAGGTAAAAATTATTGTTGTACATTGTACAACTATTCTTTTTCTCTATCATTTGTTCGGACATAACCTATTTCTACTTTGACAAGATTGTACTTGTGTGTGACCTTCTTGTCGCTTAATAAAAATAGCTTTCTTAAAGAAAGGTTCTTCGTTTCTTTCTATTTAATGGATTTTATTTGCTTTATATTGTTCATTTAATAAATCATACGATCTGGCTGTTACATGCTGAAGGACGACAAAGGTCATCTATTTCCGATGTCAATTATTTGATTATGACTTAAGCGTTTCAATTTATGATAACAGTTCTTACTATACGTTGTTCGCAATGATTCTACTGTTATCGAAAAAAGGTAACATTAAATTTTAACGTATTTTTTCTCATTACTGATTTCACAATTACGATGTAGATGACGGTTCGAGATGCTTTGAACTCAGCCCTGGATGAAGAAATGGAAAGAGACGAGAGAGTGTTTTTGATGGGCGAAGAAGTGGCACTGTATGATGGAGCATACAAAGTGTCTAGGGGCCTCTGGAAAAAATATGGAGACAAACGTGTCATTGATACTCCTATTACAGAAGCAGGATTTGCTGGTATAGCTGTTGGAGCAGCTATGGTATGTTCTTACTTCCTCTTGTATAATATTTCTTCCATTTTTCTGAAAACTCATAATTTCTTGTTTTCTTAATTAATGCTCTTTGTTTAATTAAATGTTTTAGGCTGGTTTACGTCCTGTATGTGAATTTATGACATTCAATTTCTCAATGCAAGCTATCGATCAAATTATCAATTCTGCTGCTAAAACGTTTTACATGTCTGCTGGAAGAGTAAACGTACCAGTTGTTTTTCGTGGACCTAATGGTGCAGCAGCTGGAGTGGCTGCACAACATTCTCAATGCTTCGGTGCTTGGTATAGTCATTGTCCTGGTTTAAAAGTACTATCACCTTATACTAGCGAAGATGCAAAAGGATTGCTAAAAGCTGCCATTCGAGATCCCGATCCGGTTGTTGTATTAGAAAATGAAATATTATATGGTGCTCAGTATCCTATGTCTGACGAGGCTTTATCGAAAGACTTCGTCTTACCAATTGGTAAAGCAAAGATTGAACGTGTTGGAAAACATGTTACGTTAGTGGCACATTCCAAAGCAGTAGAAGAGGCTCTTGCAGCAGCAAATGAGCTTGCAGGGAAAGGAATAGAAGCAGAAGTAATAAATCTTAGATCTTTAAGACCATTAGATATAGATACCATTATACAATCAATAGTGAAAACAAATCATTGTTTAACTGTGGAACAAGGTTGGCCACATTGTGGTATCGGAGCGGAGATTAGTGCTAAAATTTCAGAAAGTAAGTTTTCCTAATTCAATTGATGTATAAGCAACTTAATCATCGCGTGTAATTTTTATTCACGTTTCACTCATTCGTTTTCAGGCGAAGCTTTCTATCATCTTGACGCACCGGTAATTCGTGTCACGGGTGTTGACGCGCCTATGCCCTATGCCAAATCATTGGAAATCGCATGTTTGCCGCAAACAAGTGATATTGTGTTCGCAGTAAATAAAGTATTGGGGTTGGAGTAATTATTTATATAGATCTCTAGGTAAAATGAAAAAATGCTGTTTGTTTCTTCTTTGAGTTTCACATGGTCTTTGTATCATTTCACGTTACGGCCTCTAGTAGATTCCTCATGAGGTAGAAAGTAAGTACAAAGTTTAACGATAATAAGATGGTAGAAAGTTGTTTTGCTGATAGAAAAAGGGTTCAATTTGCAGTACTTGTACACTATATCCACAGATCTACACATAATTAAGTGATGCGTATGTTTGAATGTGTGACGTTAGTGCGTACAAAGTTGTATACTTGTATATGTTGATTCAAAATAGTATAACTATTTACTAAAACAAATTAACGTTACTGCTTCTGGAACAATACCAGAATGTCCTTCGTACATGAAAGATAAGTCATTGAAATACTGCCACATCTTATTAGATGCTACTACTATGAGTTAATCTCATTTTAAATTAACTTTAAAGATAATTTTCAAATGTATTACATAGATAGGCAAAATTGTAAATTTTTAGCGTGTACGAAATGAACGAATAAACATACCGCATTTGTTTATTAATTATTTATTATGAAAATTTAATAAATTCCAATATGACTACAATTTTCTCCATTTCATTCATTTTTTATGGCTCATTTGTCATCATTCCCAATCGTATTAATTTTTTGTATTCCATTTTCCTCATTTGTTAATGGTCATGTATGATACATGCGCAATAAACAGCACGTAACAACAGTCATATAACGTTCAAACGCGTCTCTTAATTCATTATCCCTGAAAAATAAAATATTGAAATTAGATAAGTTAGTAAAATATCTTCAAAAAATTATTCTACTTCTTATAGTAATCTATTTGGCCTTCACCTAAGTACATCCATATCTAGTGCACATTGAGTATATATTGACATGAAATTTCTGAGGTCAGCGTGTGTCCAGTTCACTTGACGCCAAGGTTCTATACATCTTTCTACCAGTTCCAAGAAAAAAAATCGTAAATCTCTGGTGCGATGGAGATTACATCCTATACCTAGGATAGCTCTTGTATATGAACGAAAGTTAGTATCTATTTCTTGAAACGAACGTTCTAAAAGCATAGGTTTAAGCTTGATGCACACCAAACTGTAAAGGAATATAGTAGAAACTAAACACAATGTGTATCCTATATATCCAACAAAAAAGATCTTACTGTTTATGATGTTTATCATTTTCTAAAAGCACCCTACATTCTGCTAACTCTAACAAAAATTCTCTATCTAAATCAGTGTCAAAATATTCTGATCCAACACAACGGTATGTCCACGATGACATCATACTGTTGGCACAATGATATAAATCAGGAAACGTTAAAAACTGAAGCTTTCTCTTGTTCATTTCAAATCTAAGACACGCTATGAACACCACAGCAGCATATCGCCTGATGGATAATAAAAACATAGCTGCTAAGATAAATTTTACATGTATATGGAAGAACAATGCAAAGTAATAATTTTATATTGTACTTGGCAAGATCTTCTGAGAGCAAAAAATGTTGTTCGATATTAGCAGCCAAGGAACCTGGCAGATCTTCAACAACTTTGAAGACTCTTTTCACATTATCATATTGTCGACGACAACTCTTTAATGTTATGCCTGTTTTTTCTGACACCTCATCCATATCTTTCCTACTTTTTGACGTTAATTTTTTACCTAATAATTCTCTAATAACAACGTCATCGAATTCATAGTACCTGCGAATTATAATCGAGAGAATACGCGTTTTAAGAAGAAGTATGTATATATAAATAACATTGTTAATAAAAAGATCTGGTTACATTTCAATAAGCATTTGACTTGTTTGTGGTTCTATTTGAAACGCGAGCTGTTCGCTCGCCAGTTTAGTAGGCGTGTGAAGTAATTTTTCTAGCAGTGCATAAGTCCGATAGTGATCGAGGATGTCAGAAGCTACTAATTCAATCGAGGCATTCGTTTGTTGACATATTCCTCGTTGATGTAAGATATTTACTGCTTCGCTTGCTAAACGGATAAGAAAGATTCCTGTGAATTTTCACTTATATCTATACTCGACAATCCAAGTAGATTGGTAATTTTATTTAACAAAAAGTTCTATTTTTATACAACTGTATTTGACGAACTTACATGAATGGCCATCGACCCAAAGCTGATATATCTCAGGATCGACAAGAGTATAATTACTGATAAATACATCGACTTCTGACAACATCACGAAGATACAGTGTCTTTTAATTTCACACTTTAAAAGTAGGCCCGTAAATGGGCTTAGCTCACATCGATTCAAGACATCACGTACATTTTCAGCTTTTAGGTGTGTCGTATTTATATCATCGATTGCGTTTAACGTCTTGTTCCATAAATGAGATATATGCTAATTAATGATAGTATATATTATACATTCTAAAAACTACAGACGATAATTCATTAGTGGTAATATGTCTATTCTATAGTATGTATTCATACAGATCTGTGTTTATTACTCGTCTGGGTTAGAATTCCTTTACCATCTTTATGTCACTTCCGACGTTATCGATTCAATATAAAATAAGGTTAGGTTAGAAAATGTGTCATGTTAGATTATGTGCATTGCAAGCTAATCCATTCTGTGTTATAATTATAGACAAAGTTCCCTTACTGTTCATATCATTTCTCTTTTCATTTTTCCTTGGTCTTCTTTTTATTCCATTTTCTTTCTCATTTCTTACCCCCTTTACTCCTCTCGACTTTTCTTATTCCCTCCTCTTTCTTGTCATTATATTTTATTTCATTCACTCCTAATAATCTCCCTCCTAGCTTCTTTCTTCTTTTCCCCCTTTTCTTTTCCTTTTTTTCATACCATTCAATGTTTTCTCAAGGAATCGTCCACTTAGCATGTACACGAGCTCCTTAATTATTAATCAGAAAGCTAAACGTTAAAAATTTTTTACAACTATCTGGTTTGAAAATGTCATAGTTCGTTAAAGAATTGTTTAGTGCAATATTTCAGTTTCTCGAGTCGGTTTTAATTGATAAGAATCCGTGCCGCCTCAGCCAATTAGCGATCAATTAGGCAAGCATTTGGCAGGACAAAGCACCACTTCCATGTCTAAAAGCATGACATCTACACTCTACGCGTGTTATCCTGTTTAAAAGTGCGTGATTTCCATAACGTAGTAATTCTTCGCCCCTTATAAACTACTACAAGGTTTGTTTAACGAATATATATGTTTATTTAATAGTTTCTTAGATAATGCTATATCGAAGTTAAATAGTTTCTCGAACTCATCTTGTTCGCATTTCATTGGTCTCTTACTTAATTGTCAAAATCGCCAGTAGTTTGCACTATAATTTCTTTTGCACGGATCATTGATTGATTGTGAAGATCACTTTATTTACGCTAACTTTGCTTTCCTTTCATAATATTTTTTCTTTCTTATTCCCATTTAAAGACAACTACACATACATGATATAATTATGAATTGTATAGCAAATAATATGAGCTGCTTGGTTGATTGTGTTATGTAGTTAGAATATTTACTAAGTAGTTTCGCTGATTTCTATACAAGCATAGATTTTTATCTGATAGTTGTTGAGTAAAGTACAACGTATTAAATTCTACATTTAATTCTGTGTTAAGATAAACGAATATTGTAGAGGTATTCGAACTGCAATTGTAAGATATCATTGCTTGTATATTATTTATAATTTCATAGTAAAATTTAATTTTGTTATACGAATCACCAAAAATTCATCAGGTAGCTTCTCTGCGTTTATAAATGTAATTTCTACATTTATTATCTTAAACTCTAAACTCTAAGTTAAGTTAAACGGTCGGTATTTCAGAACTTGTGATATCAAATCCCGTAAGATGTCAGGTCTATTTCATTCGTTACCGTAATTATAGTTTCTATTGAAATTTGTTTATAGTTTCAATATAATCGCTACACTCATCGTTTTAAATCGCAAAGGGCACAGCCTTTTTACATGTTTTGTATTTCAGAACATTTGTTACGAGTCACGAAGTTCCTTAAGATGTAAGATCTATCCTAAACTTAGCCAGTGGTTAATATTCTACATATATTGGATCCAATTCGATCATTCGACTATTTGGTTCATGCATTCAATAAACAATGGCGGGGATATTGATCGTAATTCTCTCAGTAAATATAGAGGCATTGAGGTGAATAAGCGTATTAACTGAATTGACAACGGGAAGAAGCAAGCTCGCCTCGATGGTTGTTTGTCCGTTAGAATATACATATAATTGATTTGACTTAATAATAAATACATTCTATCAACGTGCGTGATTACGCAATTACGTTTGGATTAAATATGGAACAATTAATTTAAACGCACATGGTGCGCGCGATTTTCACGCTAGCGGTAAGTAGGGCTAGAAAATGAATACTGTTTCAATTATTCGCATGACTTAACGTGCAAATAATGTTCGTTCTTATCGGCATTACGCAACTTTCTATTTAACTTATTAATGAGCACCGTTCTCACGTGAAAAATTAAGAGGCGGTCTATTTTTGTGTATACATATGTGTACAAAGATGGATACTATACGTGCACTTGCTCACAAAAGTATTCGAACGCAAGTATTTGAACACAAATGAAAAGTTTTGATGAATGTATTATGTACATTGTACCAAATTTTTAAAAATTTTATTAGTAACGAGACATAGTCGTCGTCATTATTTTAGTAAAATTTGAAACCAATACGAAAATCGGATGTATGGCCACCGATCGGGACCTGTTTGACCATATATCCTGGGAGTTGACTTTCCGAGAATTTGCCCACATTATCTGACTCCTGCTCACTTCGCTGTCCGTGCATGAGAGGCAAAAGGGAGAAGTAGACAATGCGAGTGAGACAGAATAGGTAGAGTGTAATAAGATACTGTAGAACCAGATCATTTTTTACTCCTAGTCGTATATTACATATTTCATTAGTTTAGTTAACAATTGTTGATCAGATATAGTCATGTTTGTACAAATCTCAATAATCCGATTGAGGCTATCTCGTAACGATATAATAAAAAAATAAAAAACATTGTATTTTTCTTATTCCGATTTGAATTATATTGATGCGGATCATAGATAACGCAGAGGCCTGCCTCGCGCCAGCAGTTCCAGGGATTGGTGGGGATAACTTGTGGCCATACGAGCGAACAAATTCGTGGCCACATATCCGAACGCTACTGTACATATATCAATCTACATGTCAAGAAATTAGTATGTATACAGCATGAATAGTGGTGTTAAACGTATAATTAGTGCTAAAAATGATCTCATTAAATATCGTGGTTCATTAATACAACGAATAATTGACTGTTCAAATATTTTAACTTCTATATATATAAATCTATATATATATATATAGATTTTTAAATTCGTTTCAAATTTTACCAATTGTGACAGTCGTGTTAATAATATTTCAAAATGTTCTGCGTAATATAAAGTTACTGTAGCCGTTTAAATACTTTCTTGAGTCTCTGTACGCGAAGGTATAAACAACTGTATTCGACGTGGAAACTAAAATCAAAGGCGACTCGTGCGTGTACATTCTTTCTCGATTCTGTATTCGTGCCTTCCACGGGCTTTCTGAGAGCATTTGTAGTTCACAACGTTTAAACTTTAAACGTTTTCCTAGTCTCTTCACTGCGAACCATAAAACTACGCGTGAAGTCCATTCGATTCGACAGAAGCATCGCGTTTCTCCGCGATAATGTTTCGATAAATTCTCAACGAAACGGTGAACATTCGAGAGTTCTATACACTTTAGTATATAGTTTTGCTCCTTTGAAATTCAGGATACGAAGAGGTTGCATGTGCAAATTTATTCAAAAGGAACTTGTTTCAGGTAACGAAGGGGATCAAACTCTCGTCGCTTTGGAAACGATTGAATCAGGTGCGATAGGACCTCGAATTCGAATCGATCTAGCCGACGTAGGGTATTTTCGGGGGATTTGTGGGAGAATTTCAGCGACTTTCGTAAATCACATACAACCGCAGGCTTCCACTACCATATTTGGCAGTGTTTTTTGCGTGATCGTATTGTTCGAATCAACGTAGAGCAGTTGAATCGGCGACAATTGCGTAGGTGAACAACATGGAATGATCTCGTTTTTACGACGCGTTGTGCTACCATTCTTGGCCAATAACCTCTAAAACAATAAAAGAGAAAAAATTAATGCTCCGAAAAAGTTCAATATAGGGTATGGCCGAATAACACGTACAAGCAGGCATCGGGCGATTCTCTACGAAAAAGTAAGACGAGTAAATATAAAATAAAATTTGTTCGTACGATACTTCGTTTTCGAGAAAATCGAGTTTGGAACTCGATCAAGTATATTTGAACACAGAGTGACATCTGGACCGAACAGGAGTAAGCAATCAACGGCATTTTTACTAAGCGCTTTCAAACTCTGTTTTCTGCAAGATGAAACGCTTTCAACGAAAAAACTTTTTTCTCATTTTTGACTTATCTTCGCATCTAGAATGAAATAACCTGTTGATTTTTTACTCGTATCCAGTCGGCTTATCGGCGGGTAAAATATAGCTGAAAAATGTTCAAACTTGATTCTCTTGAAAACGAAGCGTCATAGGAGAAAAATTGTATTCTATATCTTTTTTCTTACTTCTTACGTGTTATTCGGCCGCACCCTATACAATCGTTGGCGGTAGTCTCTGTTGATTATTTGGCGGGGAAGGATACTGCGAGATCGTAAAATAAGTCAGGTTTGAGAGCATTACGTTGTGTAATAAATTCAACCAAGCAATAAATCCAATAAATCCAATCATAAATTCAAGCATCAAGAGCAAAAGAGAAGATAAAAGAGGATGCCTACTCTGATCACGTTATTGTAGGGAGATCCACTGATGGTCAACGAAGCTGCGGAAGAACACGATCCACGACAGAAATACGCGTGATATCCGCTCGGATGAAGAATCCAATCGCTCCAACCGATGTCTTTGAAATTAATATACAGCTCGTCCCTGCAGCACTCCTTCATTTCCGGCAGACAATTTGAGTTCCTCTTCGGTCTGTTTTTCTGCGGTAACGGCGACGTGTGTATCACAAGGAACGGTTTTAATGTCTGTTCAACGGATACAGGCGCTGTGTCCCGATCTATCGAACAGGTGCTACAAGCTACCTGTATCGCGTGATTCAATCGAAGTTCTTCCACCCATTTCTTCAGCGTGAACGTTACGTCGGTCTTCACCCATCCCTCTGAAACAGCGATCGTCCTGATCGTTTTAACCTGCGATCGCTTCGTATGGTCGCGCCACGCCTCGTCCCTCTTCTCCTCTCTTCGCCTCGCCTCTCCTTTCCATTTCGCTTATTCTTATTCTTATCGTTTCGATTCGACTACATCGTTGTTCGTTCGCACAATCGAGAATGTTGCTGTATCTGCGAGCATCGATATTTTGTCCATTACCATCTCTATATTCCGTATATTTCCTTTCTTTTCTTTCTTTGTTTTACTGCTCTTTTTTTTTTTCATTTCTTTTTTCAATGCGATCGCGATTCTAAATGCATAATTGCACTGCGAATGGCTAGAAGCGTGGGAAGGTGGAGGGTGGTGGCGATGGTACATGTGGCACGAGAGAAGAGGTTAGAGACAAGATTTGACTACGCTGCCATTGTTCTTTCCATTTTGACACTCGCCCCTCCCAATTCGATCGAATAACCGCACGACCGTTAGAAAGTTTCGTGACACGATCGACTTAATTTCGCGTACGATTCCTGTAAATTGGTCGATTCGTAATCGCGATACTGCAGTAATACAGCATGAAGTGACTTTATACCGTGAGAGCGTTGAATTTTTTTGCTGACATACCACTTCACGGTCTAAAGTCCTTACCAACTGTCAACAAATATCTTTGCATAGTTTTGCGCTCAGTTTCGCCGATTCCTTTCGTGTATCTTAACGAGTTGCCCCTCTCTCGTCCGCCCTCTCATCTTCTTTCTTTCGCTCTCATGTTCCAATAATTTTTTCACTAACTAAATCTATTAAAATATGCTTTAAGATTAGCATTTGTCCCGTACTTTCGGTGTATGGGCTTCGGTGCAACATTTCCAACGTTTTAATCTGTTACCCGGGGGAAGTCGAATTAACCGATTATTTAGATTGTAAATCTGTTCGGAGGAATCATTTTTTTTTTATTTAGAGATCTCCGACCCTTTTTTTTATGTATCGTTCCATTCTGTCGAAAATAAATTATATAATACATAGTTATATCAGCGGGGACTAAAAGTTGACCGAAATCGATTTCTTTTTGCTCAATTTTGATTTGGTAATTGTAGAAGTTTCCGATTAAAGGACGACTCGGTTAAAAACAGTTTATCCCATTAAGGACGAACGTTGCGTTAACGCAACGTATCATTGACAATTTCTCTTCGATCAATTCGCTTACATCGTCGAATTCCGCTTTTATTAGCATCGTGACTAGGAAGGGGAATTCCAAGGATTCGCTTAAATTTTTCCGTCGTCACTATATCTTCCGGCGAAATTCTACGATTTTATGAGAAAAGAGATCGAAGTATCCACGTTGTTACTCTTCAACCGTTGTTCAATCTTCAAGCTTAAAGCGTTCATTTATAAAACGATAAACTGTGTCGACAGATGTAAACGCGACAAAATTACGACATGGCAAATGGTTTTGCTGTAACGATGATATGTAACGGGGCAGAGGCAGGAAGAGAAGCGGTCGATTTCACTCGGTTCGGTATTTTTGCGATAACGTCGTATATCCCGTATCTAAGAGAAATGAAAAGACGAAAGATGCACGAAAGAACGAGAATTGGACGAAGCTTTTACACGGGGACCTGTGCGCGATTACCTAAGAAAAGGAAGTATCTCGATTTACCTACCTCCGATATCGGTTTCAAAGATAGCCATAATCGTGTTTTTCTCGAAGTTCCCGCTCAAATCCCAATGATCGAGCTCAGAGAGTACGAAAGTTTGATTTAGGTAGTCATTTTCGTCGTATTCCTTGTAAAACCAAAGTTGCGCCGAGGTCACATCCACGAATTGCATTTCGTTCGGTAGATAAAACGTGAAACAGGCTGCCGGATTAAAGCCCGTCAGATGGTTCGATTTCTGTTGGCACTTTTTCGAATCGGCAATACCTGAAAAGTTTGCCATTTATTTTCGTATTCGGTTTGCCGTTATTAAAAAACGCGAAGTGGTCTCTGTCCGATTCGAACATGTTAACGATGGGATAAAGACGACAAGATGCTTACAGTAGCGAAATGCAGATGAGAAGGTCTAATGTCAGTTAATCGCCGCGCGTAAACATCTTATCGATGGAATTTAAATGCGAGATTTTTAATTAACGTTTAATTAAATGTAGAAATTTGAAGTGATCGAATAATTCGCAGACTGCAGATGTTTATGCATTTATAGAAAACTTTGATACGCAGAAATCCGCGAGATATACGTAACGCGCTGAAATACTCGAAACAATGGTATTTAGTTGCGGTATTGTCGTAAAAATACCAACTTGCATAAATAGTTGCTTGAAAATTTATACTCGTTAAACGTAAGATTAGATGTATCTTCCTTCCATTTTTTCGCCTCGCTTTAATTTCACAGAGATACACGCGTCTCGTGAAACGGATCGTTCAGTTTCACAGGGACTGACCTTCGTTCGGAAAAACAACAATTTGGTCTGTTTTTCCATAAAAACTGTCAGCTGATTTTTCCGGTTCGAGTGGTGCTCCGGGTTGAAGTTCGAGTACACGACCATTTATCAGAGGCTTCGGCAAGGTCGACAGCGGCATCGATATCTCGGGTGGCTTGGAAAGTCTCAACTTCTTCAGTATTTGTTGTTTGACATACTCGACTCTTAGCTCTGTTAAAATCGGATCGGTAACGGTTAGTATGCCAACCTTATTTTGTGTACATTCAGCGCAATTCTCTTCCTCGAAAGAAGTCGATAAAGAAAACGAGGAAGAGGAAGAAGAACTCGGTGAGGTCGAACTGGCTGATCGTAAATTAGATGCCCACCGAAGGTAAGGCAAGGGATTTGCGGCCTTGGGCCAGGTGACTTCCACCTGATTATCCAACAAGAGAATAGAAAGTAATACAAGCTGTTGAATTAGACGCATCGTGTCGATATTTTGCATCGGGTATGAATATCCCACTCACACGTGTTTTCCTACAGATATTTTTCTTTCATTCGTTTACCCCTTTAACATTGTTTCGAAGAATCTCATCGATCCAGGAATACCCACTGATTTTCCATTAAGTCGCACATCGATCTCCTTTCTCTTCTTTTTATCTCGCTATCGGTAGCTATCGAATGCATGGACCGCTAATAAAATCGTCAGTAATTCTACAAACTCGAATTCGACTGTGTTTTAAAAAATATTCTTGTTCGATTAATCCACATTTTTATTTTCCCTCTTAGCCTTCTTTCCTTTCCTCCTTAGTTCCCTTTTTTGCTACCGCGTTTTCTTCCTTCCTCAGGTTCCTCCCATTCTGCTCCTTTCTACCCCCTTTCTCTCAACCTTGCTTTCCTCTTTCTCTTCTTCCTTCTTTACTTTCTTCTTTGTCCTTTTTAGTCACTATATTGTCCTCTGGCTCGACGCAGAATGCTTGAACGATAAACGAGCGAAAATTATTATTCGGTCCACGTAATAATCAATAATTCGCTATGGCTCTACCTTTCGATTGATTCGGTCGTTTTCGCTGATCCAACAACACATGCAACTTACCCGCGAAGACTGAACACACTTCGTTAAATCATTATTTAGTCACGCATCGGCTCTTGGTACAGTCTGAACTTTGCTCCATCAGCGGGGGATACAGCGGATTGGACGGAGACGAATCGTACTGATATCGTCGGGGGAAACACGCGCCACGAACATGCTTTGTGCTTCGTCGTCTTTGTAGTCCGTTTTTTCATCCTTTTCACCTAAATTCTTAATTATGTGCTCGGTTTGGTAAGAAAGATTTTGAAATTACTAGAACATTTGGTACGTAAAGCGAAAACGCGCGTCGTCTATTTTCCATAAACGCACTACTGGACGAATTCGTGGAACAAATTTCGTCGACAAAATTTTCTCGATCCACGATTGCCCACGCGTACGTTACTCTTTTCGATAAACGGTTACCCCTTGCTAAAATTTTATTTCAAGTATCTACCAGATAAGAAGAAATGGCAAAAAGAATTAATCGTCGAGAAAATGAGTAATCTGTAGCTGAATTCAAGGTTGATTAAACTATCGCTTCCGAGAGCGATCAAACTCTTACTGTTTTATACTTATACTATCTTGTTCTTTCGGAGGTGGGAAACATCGTGAAAGTACGTAAATCTCTTCAGTATCTTGAAAGAGTTGGCGAGCTTCGACCTAATCGTGTTTTCGGATCATCCGCACCCATACACGCCGATCTATACGTTCATGCCACTATACGTTCTTCCTTTAATGACCGAGAATGACACGAAGAGATGTACAATGGTATCGTGGTTTAATTTAAAAATAATAGATTTTAATAAATATCTTTTAATGGGTTCGTTCTCCGATTCATATTGAGTTAAACTTTTGCATACGCCGCATAATTGGCTATGCCGCATCGATTTTTGTTTTTAGCCAGACGCATATATCCATTTTCACCCCATCCGTTACCCCACCAGTTCTTCAGAATCCATTCGGTTGGCGTGTATCCAACGATCACCATAGCGTGATTCACCATGTCCGAGCTACAAACTTCGTCATCGTAGACTCCTGTGCTGCGAAACAAAATTTTCTTACCTTTGTAACTAGGAAAGAATAAAAGGCTAAGAAAATGAGATAACAAGAAAGGAAATGCGAGGATGGAAGGTACAGAAGATCGCGTACTGAGATTTCGATAGAGCAATCGTAAAAACTTGTGACAACGAGTATTTTTGCGAGTATGTAAAAACTTCCGCGCCTCTTTTTAATTCGTAAACGACAGTTCAATGACTTCGGTTCGTTGTCGTTTCAGGGTCATCGCATAAACGATGCATCAAAGGTTATCGTACGAATGGACCAATTTCTTTGAACATCTGTCAGAGGGGGATGATACGAGTTTTCGTACTTTCATCTTTCGCGTAAACATTCATTAAACACGGATTGGTCGCGTGTCAAAAGGCGCTTTGTCCGTTTCCTTTCTATGCTCTTTTATTACAACAACTCTATTTAATTCTCTACTCCCTTTCAAACCCCATTTTCGTTTTTCTATCACCCGGAATACCACGATATTGCCTTAACAGCCCCGATAATCTTCGCTTCCAAGGAATAAAAAATACTCACTGATAAAGTTGAAACGTTTTTGGACTGGCATTTACCGAAGCAGCTATTGGACCTATGATCGCTACGGCAGCTTCCAAAGCTTTTTCGTCACGTGCTGGTAAAACTGCCCATGAAGTGATGTTAACTACGCTCAAGTCTTCTACAAAACGACACGGACCTTGCTATCCTCCAAAAGCAAACATATCATTGGTGGATAATTATCTTTCCCTCCTATACATATACATGTATACATACTAATCTACGATACATAAAACACATAATCCGAACGTAATTCGATATCGTTTGGACTTTCTTCGATATTGATTTCGTTGCCTCATGTTTGTTGACATTCGCGAATTCCTAATGTACACATTTTGTTTAAAAATATACTTGTTACTTCAGCCACGAGCGTATACTTAAATCAGCATTTGGAGATAAGATATATTATGAAACACGAGGGATAACGGAATAACGGAAATCTCGATACCGATAATCTGCGAACGAACTTACCTACAGTAGCTACGAGAAGAATTTGTACGTATAATTAACAAACATAACGTGTTTTTCTAACCACTGTACGTTATAGTCGAAGTATAATGGAATAAAATAAAGAATGTCTTTCCGAATATAGCATTATCAGGATTGAGAACAGTCCGTGTTTTGCTTCAATATTTCGTATGTCAGTGTTATCGTAAAGAAAAATGACAAAGAAGAGGAAAAATAGAAAGGAACGTACTTTCGCTGTATACGAATAACGGCTTTGAGGCATTAGACCTTTTGCCTTTTCGAGATATCTCAGTGTGTTTCTCAGAGAACCTCCTGAACAACCTAAATTTCCAGTAGACGTACTGCAATCGATCAATTGTTGTTCGCTCAATGGAATTAACATTCCTGTTTTTTTGAAGATTTGCCCTTGAATGCTGGTGGCTACCGAGTACGCGTAACAACTGCCGCAGTCTCTTTGGTTTTCTGGCGGCGTTTTAAATCCCATTTCGCGCCAATCAAGCTGTGGTGGAATTCTTCGAGGATCATGTAAAACCGCTCCGACTATCGGTTCATTCGATACACGCCGCTTACGACTAGGGATTAGTTTTACCTAGAGAATAAAGAAAAGAAAAATCCAAACTGTTATACTACAAAGAAGAATTTTCTTTCGATTTTTCTCGTAACTGAATGTTTATCTAAAATTTAAGTTTGTGGAAATGTGCGTGCTGCGCATAATATGAAAAAATATGGAGAATATCTCCGCTAGATGGTACTCTATACTGTTGGTTATAGTATGATTAGGAAATGAAACAAATCTCTAGTTAGAATTTATTTATTACCGAATAATATCCGTTTTACGATAGCTCTCTTAGAATACGAACCATTTCTCGAATATATTGCCTAGTTCCGAGATCGGCAATGTGATTGTCTCTCAATGTATAGCTGTGATGACCCGCAGCTGCCATCATATTGTGCTTATAAATCGTTATTAGATTTTCTTCCCAAGCTATCCTTCGGTTAGTCTCGAGATTTCCAGAGTAACTTTTATTGTAACGAGTCTGCGGCAACAGTAATATCTTAGAGTAAAGTATTATAACACACGATACGTACGATGGAGTAAAAAATTTTGCTGAAATATTTAATAATTCAATAAGATCCTCGTAATATTTAATAAACGAATCAGTCCTTTATTTATATTCCCTACTTCTTTTATGTATATTTGTAAGGATATTAATTTGCATTACAATCTAGCCTAATTGTAATATTGATCGAAGATATTCAAATAAGACGCTTATAGTACCTTGTACAAGTTCCAATATTCATCTAGCCGTTCCGATACTTCTTGAGGAAAACGATTTTGTTTGTCAAACACTTGAATGCCATAGTTACCCCATATAGCTAAAAGGAGAACTAAAAGGACACAAAGACGAAAAGACATCGCGAATGCAACCGTATTAAAAATCGACTCGATAACACACGAATCGTTGTTTTTTCTGTAGTTTGATCAACTGACTCAAGCGTTCGTTATTTCGATTCGAATGCAATTTGACCTTACGGCTGTTCTCATTTGACATCCAATTTGTAACTACAGTGTCAGCAATTTTACAAATTTCGTACGTACGTAAGCACGAGGGAAGTTCAGCCGCAAAACTTGCGTCATCTCGAGTGCAATATATGTAAGTATATTTACTAGCAGCCTGCAGAATAATATCTGCGATGCCCGATTTAATGCCTCTACAATATGATACGAACATCGCTTCCACCGCAAATGGGTCAAAGAGCAAATGACAGATCTGCTTTCACAACCTTTCCTGCACTTTTCCTTCGAGCAAGCTTTTCTATATACATATAGCTTGCACGAAAACTCGACTATTATCAGCTATATTCTTCAGAGAAATTAAGCTTGTACCGTCGAGTGATATTGAAACGCGAGAAGCAAAGCTAACAAATACTCGACAAAGTTTGTAAGATCGTGAATAGCGTTCGACACGAAAGATTGAGAAATTCGTCGTGAGATGGCTGTACTTGCAGAAATCGCGCAACTTTTAGAAATAAGGAATTCGAGGCACACACACTCATGCATTGACCGACGATTAATTCATTAACTCACGTACCGTTTGCGCATAACCGACCGCTTGTACTGTACATTTCGCTTACAGTTTGCGTTTCTACGTTCTCTGCACTGACATGTCTAATTTCTTCCAATTTACGAATTAAATTTTTTTTGCAGGGTTGAATTATTTGAGCGCGTACACGCGCGCGCATGCATGCATGGTCGCCAGCTAAATCTATTAGCCGCGTCTCATTCGCTTTCGCTTGCAATACATATTAGCAGTGATAGTGGTTGGTGATGTAGTTGCGCGGGACGGGATAGAGAGAATGGCAAAGACAATGAGAGAGGGGAGGAAGAAAGATCGCGGATGTTGGCGAGAAACTCGTGATCTGCTCGTCTCTTATCCCCTCGTTGCGTAGATAGTTGGGCATCGAGCCGAGATCGGACATGGAACATCGAAAGCATTGGGCATTGGGCATCGAGCATCGGGCATCGAGCATCGAGCATCGAGTAGCGTGGATAGTCGAGAGTAACGAACGCGACCCCCGCTCGTTTCCGATCGGTTAAAAGTTCTCGCACGACTCGCGACTACTGTCTCTCTCGTCTCTCTCTCGGTCCGATTATCGCTCGACACGCGCGTCCTAGCTTCTACCAGTGGGGAGGCGCCACGCTAGAAAGCAAAACTCGGGAACATCGTTGTCTCGTAATCGCGATCGTTTCACCGAGAAAAGTATCGAAGATCGTAGTTTGTTCGCGGTAAGAGGCGTCGCGACGCTATTGACCGCGACG